TTCATTTCTTTGAAAAAGTAAGTTTAATTAAAATCATACATATAAAACGATGATAAAAAATTTTATCTCAGGGCACCTGGGTCGCTCAGTCAGTTAGGCAACCGTCTCTTGATTTTGCCTCAGGTCATGATCTCAGGGTTGTGAGATCCAGCCCCGTGTCAGGCTCCACACTGAGCATGGCAACTGCTTGGTATTCTCTCTCTCCATCTGCACCCTGCTTGCACTCTCATTCTCTCTCTCTCTCTCTAAAAAATATATAATTTATAACTCATTTAAGTTTATATGTGAGGGTAGAGTAGACTGATTTTTTTTTTTTTTTTGGTCAAACTTGATTTATAAAAGGTCAATCTGAGTCCCTTACCACTACTTTACATCTTTCTTAAAAAGGATTAGGTAGGGGCGCCTGGGTGGCTCAGTTGTTACATGTCTGCCTTTGGCTCAGGTCACGATCCCAGGGTCCTGGGATCGAGCCCTGCATCGGGCTCCCTGCTCCGCGGGAAGCCTGCTTCTCCCTCTCCCACTCCCCCTGCTTGTGTTCCCTCTCTTGCTGTCTCTCTCTCTGTCAAATAAGTAAATAAAATCTTTAAAAAAAAAAAAAAAGGATCAGGTATTGAATTAGGGATTTTAAAGCAAGCCAATATCATCATTTTATCAGATTTTACTTGCTTTGGCTCCTTCAATTCAGAGTGTCTCATAATAATAGTTCCAAGCAGACATGGTTTCAGGGTGACCCACTAGTTAAGTCCTTCCAACTTTTCATAAAGAAAAGCAATTTATGTCCACCTCTGATATTAAAAAAAAAAAAATGAATCCTTGAAAAAGGAAGGAGGCAAGATAGATAACCAGTCTACTATCCACTTTGACTCTTTCCCATCCGCCCTTCATCTCCCTGAAGAACCTGGGTTCCAGAATAGGTAGAAGTAGTTCAAATCCTGACCATGTACAAGTAATCTGCCTCTCTCAAGACTCAGTTCTCTCATCTGTAAAATGAGAATACCACCAGCAGCAACAATAATCCTCAGACGTTTTACTGGGGGAATTAAAGGAAAAAAATGTAAATTACAAGTAAAAGGCCTACTACACAATAAACACCCACAGTAAATATTAGCTATTATTAATTATTCCATTTTTGTCCAACTCACAGAGAGAAAAACATTCTGTAGATAGGTAACTCTGAAGTCTTAGGTAAGTACCCCAAAACAGGCCTAGCTACAGCCCTCAACATTGGAGAGACCAAGCAAGGCCCAATGCTGTCCCTGAGCAGACTACTCGTCACAAAGAAAATCAAGAATGGAATTACATATGCTGCAATCTTCATCTTCAATTCCAAGAGAATTCTTTTAAAAACGAAACCATAGGGGTACCTGGGTGGCTCAGTCGGTTGGGCAGCCAGCTCTTGATTTCAGCTTGGGTTGTGATCTCAGGGTTGTGGGATTGAGCCCCATGTCGTGCTCCACCCTCAGCTCAGACTCTGCTGGGATTCTCTACCTCTCCCTCTACCCCTCCCCAAGCCTGCTCGCATGTGCTAAGAAATAATATTTTTTAAAAATGAAATTAAAGGGAGCCTGGGTGGCTCAGTTGGTTAAGCGACTGCTTTCGGCCCAGGTCGTGATCCTGGAGTTCCGGGATCGAGTCCCGCATCGGGCTCCCTGCTCGGCGGGGAGTCTGCTTCTCCCTCTGACCCTCTTCCCTCTCGTGCTCTCTATCTCTCATTCTCTTTCTCTCAAATAAATAAATAAAACCTTTAAAAAAATAAATAAATAAAAATGAAATTAAATTTAAAAAAAATAAAATAAAAACTAAACCATAAAAACCAAGATAAGGATTATGTTCAGAAATGCAGTTAACCTAATACCTACTGATAAACTCACTAAAAATGGACAACTCATTCATTAACCTAAACAACACTACAAAAATTAAATGGAAAACATAAGCAGGTCTTCTGATGCAGTGCAATATAGAATACATAACCTCCTCTATGCTTACCCAAAAAACTGAGCTTGAATCTTTAAAACTAACTTACATTTACAGTAAATAAGGGAGCTAAAGAAATAAGCTAAGTGACACCACAAGAAACAAAAAGACCAATGCATAATGTGAAACATGACACCTAAAGGACAAGTAACATGGTTCTGACAACAAATCAATGGTAAGGAGAAAAAAGGGGAGGTACAAAGAAGTTAGGAAGAATATACTCTAGATTAAAGAGAATCAAAATATGTAATGTATGAATCTTGTTTCAATCCTGATTCAAAGAAATCAACTACGAAAAGACATTTTTTAAGTAATCAGGAAAATTTATACATGGGTTAAATATTAGATGACACCAAAAGTTTACTATGATTTTTTGAACTCTTAAAATAGCATTATGATTATATATGAAAGTGTCTATCTTTTTCAGAGGTGCTTACCATAGTAATTAGGGGTAAAGTGACCCAAAATATCTACTTTAAAATACTTCTGCAGTGAAGGAAGGTAGGATAGAGATCTATAAAACCAATATGGCGGGGCGCCTGGGTGGCTCAGTCATTAGGCACTTGCCTTCGGCTCAGGTCATGATCCCGGGGTCCTGGGATCGAGCCCTGCATCGGGCTCCCTGCTCAGCAGAAGCCTGCTTCTCCCTCTCCCACTCCCCCTGCTTGTGTTCCCTCTCTCGCTGTGTCTTTCTCTGTCAAATAAATAAAAAATAAATCGATAAAAATCTTTAAAAATAAATAAATAAATAAAACCCAATATGGCTAAAATCTTTAAGTGTTGTTGACTAAGAAGGAGGGGACATTTGGTTCAACTAACTATTCTCTCCACTTCATCTAAATTTGAAATTGATCATAATTTTAAAAGGCTAGAAAAGGGAATTAAAATTGGTTTAGATGGGGTTGCCTGGGTGGCTCAGTCAGTTAGGCATCTGCCTTTGGCTCAGGTCATGATCCCAGCATCCCAGTATCCAGCCCCACATCGGGCTCTCTACTCAGTGGAGAGCCTGCTTCTCACCCTCCCCACCAGCCTGCCACTTCCCCTGCTTGTGCGCTCACGCACTCTCTCCCCCTCTGTCAAATAAATAATTCTAATCTTATTTTCACTCTGCCGGTCAAATCAGTACATAGTTTTGCCTTCTCTCATCTCTGGATTATCATTTACCTTTGGCAAATATAGTATTTTAGTAAATGATAGTTGAATGAACAACAAAGGGAGTTGGTACTATACATATTGCCTATGTTCTTTTTTTAATTTAAATTTTAGGTAATTAACATACAGTGCCTACATTACTCCTATGCTTAATAATATTGCTGATCAAAAATTCTGCCACTATGAACTGCTCATGCAGAGAACAGTCACAAAACTGCATTTAATAATATATCAAACAGAGGTTCCTGGCTGGCTTGGTCTGTAGAGAATGAGACTCCTGATCTCTGGGGTTGTGAGGGTGTGAGTTCAAGCCCCATGTTGGGTGCAGAGATTACTTAAAAATAAAATCTTAAAAAGAAAAATGAAACAAAATGGTTCAAACAACATGTCAGTTCAGGTAGCTCATCCACTGAACCAAAGCAGTATCTGCATATTTCCATAGTGTATCTTGATTTTATGACCCTGAGAACTCTAACATATACAAAATTACATTATTAAAGTAGCTTAATGACATCCCAAGTTAATAAATGTTAAGAAATGATCACTAACAGGGGCACCTGGGTGCCTCAGTCATTAAGCGTCTGCCTTCGGCTCAGGTCATGATCCCAGAGTCCTGGGATTGAGCCCCGCATCAGAATCCCTGCTCCATGGGAAGCCTGCTTCTCCCTCTTCTACTCCCCTGCTTATGTTCCCTCTCTCTCTGTGTCTCTGTCAAATAAATAAATAAAATCTTAAGGAAAAAAAAAAAAGAAACTGATGAATCATTAAATTCTACCCCTGAAACTAATAATATACTATATGTTAACTGAATGGAATTTAAATAAAAATTTAAATAAATTGGGCGCCTGGGTGGCTCAGTTGGTTAAGCGACTGCCTTTGGCTCAGGTCATGATCCTGGAGTCCTGGGATCGAGTCCCACATCGGGCTCCCTGCTCAGCAGGGAGTCTGCTTCTCCCTCTGACCCTCTCCCCTCTCATGCTCTCTCTCTACCTCATTCTCTCTCTCAAATAAATAAATAAAATCTTAAAAAAATAAAAAAAAATTTAAATAAATTATGAAAAAAAAAAGAAATGATCACTAACAGAAAATATTGAGGGATGGGAAAGAGAGCTAATGAATGGGCAAATACTTTTAAGTTTAAAACCAGTATCATATGGGTAAAACACATCTATTAAAGTCCAACAGAGGGGCGCCTGGGTGGCTCAGTTGCTGAGCGTCTGCCTTCGGCTCAGGTCATGATCCCAGGGTCCTGGGATCGAGCCCAGCATCGGGCTCCCTGCTCTGCGGGAAGCCTGTTTCTCCCTCTCCCACTTCCCCTGCTTGTGTTCCCTCTCTCGCTGTGTCTCTGTCAAATAAATAAGTAAAATCTTAAAAAAAAAAAAAAAAATCCAACAGAAAAATTTAATGATTGTTTGATCAGAGCGTCAAGTTTTTTGTTTTTTGTTTTTTTAAAGATTTTATTTATTTATTTGACAGAGAGAGACACAGCGCAAGAGGGAACACAAGCAGGGGAAGTGGGAGAGGGAGAAACAGGCTTCCCGCTGAGCAGGGAGCCCGATGCAGGGCTCGATCCCAGGACTCTGGGATCATGACCTGAGCCGAAGGCAGACGCTTAATGACTGAGCCACCCAGGCGCCCCCAGAGCGTCAAGTTTTAAATTATTCATTTAAAGGGCTTTCTCAGCTCAGGTGAAACCAACTAATAAGTTTTCTCAAAATTACGTAAATCCAAACACTTCATTCATAGTCATCAGTAAAGAAACCAAAGATTGCAGAAGACCTACCCGTCTCTCAGAGCACACTGCCATGCCTATACCAATAGCCTGTCTCCTCCTTCCAATCAAAAGCATCTCCTTCTCCCTCATTCTCTCTTACCTCTGCCACGAGCTCTCTTGCCACGGTCGGAAGGCTTGTCCCTTTGGTTGCAATCAATTCCATTCTCTTCACCTCTAACTACGGGAGAAAAGAGCACCTCTTGTACATAATTGTACATAAGAGCTATCAAAGGGAAGGACAAAAAAATTTTAACAAAAGGGATCAGAAAACGGTAAAAACAAAACCAAGTAAAAGTGGCTGAAAAACTGATGACAGCACATCTTGCTTAATTTGTAGGCGAAAATTCTGTAAGGAAATAAAAACGATGTACCACTCTTTCTTTCTTCTAGTTGGACTTGCCCTCCCCTAAAGCAAGTCTGCTTCAAAAAACCACATTTGTTATGCAGCTATATGTAATACACACCAAAACTGGCTCACTGGTTAGGTTCGAAGCCTGGAAAGGCCTAGAGGAACAAAACAACAATACCAAGGAAATAACGAGTTGCTAAAAAAATTAAGTGTTAGAGACAGGTTTTCCCAAGATGCTATCCAGAATATGCCAGCAGAGTCTTATCTTCTCCTCATACCTATATTGGAATTAATGACTATATAATACATAAATTTTGAGCACAGCTTGCTCTCCTTATCTCTTTCATGGCCTACCCTACCTCCATGAGTTGTCGACGTTATCCCATGAGTGCCTTCCTTGGCCACTCCGTTTAACTTTGTCAATCCCCTCCCTAAAACCACCATCTTGTTGCCTCTGTTTTTCCCCCACAGTATAATTTCCACATAAAACATCACTAAAATATCGTATATTACTGCAAAACATGTTAACTTCTCTTTCTTATTGTTACATCTCACTCTATCTCCATTAAAAGTTTTAGGAGGACAGGGGCGCCTGGGCGGCTCAGTCGTTAAGCATCTGCGTTCGGCTCAGGTCATGGTCCCAGAGTCCTGGGATGGAGCGCCACATCAGGCTCCCTGCTGCCCGAGAAGCCTGCTTCTCCCTCTCCCACTCCCCCTGCTTATGTTCCCTCTCTCACTGTGTCTCTGTCAAATAAATCTTAAAAAAAAAAAAAAAGTTTTAGGAGGACAAAGATTTGTTTTTTCATTGCTCTATGCCTATTAAGAGTACCTGCCACATAGTAGGTACTCAGTAAACATCCGTGGAATAAACACACTGGTAAAAGTTTCTAAGATGGTTTGTCTGCACAAAAGGTTGTGCTGTTATGGGTAATAATGCCAAAATATGGGTCAAATGAAAGGACTGAGAAAAATCTTCCCTATTCGACAAACTCCCTCTTAATCTAACCCTTGCCTATTACAATGAGTATCCATTAAGTGGGAAGAATAAACAGCATTATCTATCAGTGAATGAAAACCCTCCTTTAAAATTAGAGGGTGCACTTGATAAATAACAGAAGGCAGTCTTAAGACACACAACACACCTACCTACAGCCAAGGTAAGTGCTAATATGAAACTGCATCAGTTATGGTTCAGTTGTAGCTCATTATTAAGTGTTACCTATAAAAACAAACACTGCATTGAGGAACTAGATCTATGGGCATTCGATGGACCACTCTTTCAGCTTTTCAGTGTGCATAAAAATTTGTGAAATATACTTACACTCTCTCCCACGATTGCCACCTCTTCCTTTTCGGTTGTTGTTTCCACGTCCACGATTTATTTCTCTCTCATTTCTTTTCTCTCTATTCTCTTTGTTTTCTGAACTTTCTTTTACGAAATTCTTCTTCTTTCCCCCTACAGTCTCCCATGAAGTCTAGCAAGACAAAAGTGGTCATTCAGAATTGTCAAAGTGTATACAATTATCAAGGATATGTGCATATACACCTTTCAGACCTAATAACCCATCCCTTGCAGCTCACTTGCCTACCATTTTAATTCTAATCCATATAGTTCTACTTCCTGATGAAAAAGACAGCAAATCTCTTGCTAAGCTCCTGTTGCCACACACAGCACAAAAGAGTACAGCAACTAGCTGAATTAACAACACACTATATGTTGTCCCACCACAGAGCCTTTTCCTATGCTGATTTAAAAATAAAAGGTCGAGGGGCCTGGGTGGCTCAGTCGTTAAGCGTCTTCCTTTGGCTCAGGTCATGATCCCAGGGTCCTCAGATCAAGCCCCACATCAGGCTCCTGCTCAGCAGAGAGCCTACTTCTCCCTCTCCTTCTATTGCTCCCCCTGCTTGTGCTCTCTCCCTCTCCCTGTCAAATAAATAAATGAAATCTTTTAAAAAGAGGGGCGCCTGGATGGTTCAGTCAGTTAAGCATCTGTCTGCCTCTGGCTGGGTCATGATCCCAAGGTCCTGGGATCAAGTCCCACATCGGGCTCCCTGCTCGGCAAGGAGCCTGCTTCTCCCCTGCCTGCCATTCCCCCTGCTTGTGCTTGCTCAATCTCTCTTTCTCTGTCAAATAAATAAATGAAATCTTAAAAAAATATATTTTAAAAAAATAAATAAAAAATAAAAATAAAAGGTAATTTCCCCAAGCTCCCGCACTATGCCACCTCCACCTACCTCAGCTGGCCTTAAACCTATGAATAAGTAGATTAGCTCAAAGAATACAAAATTACATTAAAGTCCTTCCCTAAAACCTCAGGAATAAGTTGCTCTATTCAGTTAACCAAAGTAACCATCTAAAAAAATTTAATGGTAGGCAAATAAAATTAGGGGTTATTTTTTTAAACTAAGTGACCAAAATTTCAACCTCAAAGACGTGTTTCTGGGTGCCTGGGTGGCTCAGTTGGTTGAGCAACTGCCTTCAGCTCAGGTCATGATCCTGGAGTCCCAGGATCGAGTCCCGCATCGGGCTCCCTGCTCAGCAGGGAGTCTGCTTCTCCCTCTCTCTTCCCTCTCATGCTCTCTATCTCTCATTCTCTCTCTCTCAAATAAATAAATAAAATCTTAAAAAAAAAAAACGTGTTTCTAATGAGAAGTCAAATAACAACCTTCTCTGCCTCTCCTCTAATGGTGACTGAAATCAAATCATATATATATAAACTGCTGAGAAAAGAACACTTCGTTCTTGTGAAAATAATTGGTATTAGGATATCAATAAAGGTACATTACTGAGAAATCTCCAAACTGACCCATTTGTTTCTTTTTACTTTGTCATCATCCACCTCATTTCACAGGAGATTTGAAGTGATTCAATCCCAAAATAAGAGCAATAACTATTTTAAGCTTAAAAAATTCTTAGGAACAAGAGGAAATTACTAATATTGTATATCCAAATAAACATAAGCACTAGAAATTAATAAACTAAAATTAAAGAAACATAGCTGAATTACTTCCAAAACAGTGGAGGCCAGATTTAAAACACTTTTTTTTTTTTTGAGATTTTATTTATTTGCCAGAGAGAGACACGGCGAGAGAGGGAACACAAGCAGGGGGAGTGGGAGAGGGAGAAGCAGGCTTTCCACCGAGCAGGAAGCCCGATGTGGGACTCGATCGACCATGACCTGAGCCAAAGGCAGATGCTTAACAACTGAGCCACCCAGGTGCCCCTAAAACACACTTTTTTAGAAAGAACTTTTTTGACATCTACAAGCCTCTACTCAACCCATGTATTTAGTTACATATAAAATCATTAGATGTGAAAAAAATACTAAAACAAGTTATTTTCCAACTTTAAGCTTTTATCAATAGTTTTTAAAAATCAACAACTGACAGTTACAGCAGAATAATATGGTATATTCACTTCTGGTGAATATTGATCTATTCTAATCTTCCTACAAGTCCACCTGGGAATAATAATACCCAAACTTTAGTTAGTTCACAGCTTTGACCCAGCAATTCTATTTCCAGGCCTTTATTCAAAGGAAATACGCCTCAATCGGTCAAGAATTTGCCTTCGGCTCAGGTCATGATCCTGGGACCTTGGGCCCTGGGATGGAGCCAGCATTTGGCTTCTCCCTCTCCCTCTGCCTCTCCCTTCCACTCATGCTCTCATGCATGCGTGCATGCTCTCTAATAAATAAAATCTAAAATCTTTAGAAAAAAAAGTTATCCAGATGTACACAGAAAGAGATCCATGATATAAGTGTAGCAAGCTAATCAACTAACAGTGTATAAAATAGGATTACATTTTTTAGTTCAAAGAGAAGCCTGTGTGTGTGTGTGTGTGTGTGTGTGTGTATACACACACACACTAAAGAAAGTAGTTATCTAAATGAGGATGTTTAACTTTTTATCATTCTGCATTACTTTTTTTTTTTTTAAGATTTTATTTATTTGAGAGAGAGACCGTGAGCACACACAAAGGGACAGGGAGAAGCAGATGCCCTGCCAAGCGCAAAGGCCAATGTAGGGCTCGATCCAAGGACCCTGAGATCATGACCCAAGCCGAAGGCAGATGCTCAACTGACTGAGGCACCCAGGCATCCCTCTGCACTGCTTTTTTAATTATAGAAAACAATAAAGCTTATTTATTCCAGAGAAATAATTCTGCAGTGTACAAACTCAATTATGCCTGTTAACATGAACAAACAAGACACCTATGCAAGATGGAATCCTGTCCTTAGGTTAACAGTAAGTAAAAGTCCTAGAAAAATTACACGTGGTACAGTCAACACAGGTGCATGTGTATACAACTTATATTGTCTTTTTTTTTTAAAGATTTATTTATTTATTTGCGAGAGAGAGACAGTGCACGAGCACAAGTAGGGTGAAGGGCAGAGGGAGAAGCAGACTCCCCACTGAGCAGGGAGCCCGAATGGGGACTCAATCCCGGGAATCCCGGAAAATGACCTGCGCCGAAGACAGACGCTTAACCGACTGAGCACCCAGGCGCCCCTGTATGTGAAACGTTTGAGAAAAACATCTTACCCCATTTCATTCAGCAAAGGACACCCATAAGTAAGTCTTAGGCTTGTGAAATCTACGAAGACTGACAACAGCTTATTTGTGCGGGTAAGTAAGGAGAGCAAACTTAAGGGGCAATTGGTCTAATGCCACTGTAAATGCTAAAGAGAGTATCGCACACTTGACACAACAGTCTGTGAGCATGCTCACAAAGCTTTCAACACAAACCAAATAATCATAAAAGATTTTCAACTGAACTTCTGACAACCTTTGTCATCCAAATTTGGCTACTTGCAGAATAGGTCTTGAAAAAACTCTAAGAGGAAGAATGGTCCTCCCAGACACTACATTTAGTAATCAGAAAAGCAGCTTTCCAGGCCAGCTAATTAAAAATCACTCTCCCACCTCTTCTTATTTGCCAACACAAACAAATTACTTTTTTTAAAAAAGTACATTAATGCAAGAGACTGGTATTTCAGAACTATTCTGTGACTAAAAATAGCATCATAATGAAATAAAAGGTTTATTAGTACTTATGATCATGTTCAATGTTTTCCTTTGTGATAGCTCCTCTAACATGAGAAAGACAAACTCATCCTTAAAATTATCATGGACAATTACTCCTAACATTTTTTTTTTCAAAGTAATAATTTTGTTTCAGGGGCACCTGGGTGGCTCAGTTGGTTAAGCGGCTGCATTCAGCTCAGGTCATGATCCTGGGGTCCTGGGATCGAGCCCTGTATCTGGCTCCCTGCTCAGAGGTAGCCTGCTTCTCCCTCTCCCTCTGTCCTTCACCTGCTTGGGCTCTCTCTCTCTCGCTCCCTCCCCCTCAAATAAATAAATAAAATCTTTAAAATAATAATAATAAGGGACGCCTGAGTGGCTCAGTTGGTTGAGCGTCTGCCTTCGGCTCAGGTCACGGTCCCATGATCCCTGGGATCCAGTCCCACATCGGCTCCCTGCTCAGCAGGAACCCTGCTTCTCCCTCTCCCACTCCCCTTGCTTGTGTTCCCTCTCTCACTGTCTCTCTCTGTCAAAGAAATAAATACATCTTTAAAAAAATAATAATAATAATAATAATAATTTTGTTTCAGAAGATCCTGGCACAAAAAGGACAAGATTTGTTTGCTTTCATAGTTTATTTTAAATGTTCTTGCTACTGGCAACCCTATAGTATCTATTTTGTCTAGCACCTCCACTCCAATGAACTCTATCCCAGTCAGGGGAAGATATTCCTTACAGCTGCTTAGCCATGGCTCCTACAGACAGCAATCAGGCAGGGGAGAAGACCAACACTATGGAAGAATGATCCTAAACAAACCCGAGTTTCAAAAGGACTTTCCCTCTGCCTCTCCATTTCTACCACAGCCTTCTCATCTCTCAACCAGCATACGCCTTTTGTGTCTGTGTTCAGGCCCTAATTTGCTGTTTTCTGATCTATGAAGAAACCAAACTAGATCCTAAATCACTACGGGTTTTCCAGATTCAAGGTAACCAAAGATACGTTCTTTATCATTCAAACTCCTTTGGCTGAACTACCTCCTTTGGGTTCAGTCCCAAAGGATCGTAATAAGTTAAAACTCAATAAAACACAGAGAACTGGACATTCATTTAAGACTTAAAAATTCAGCCCACTATCACAGAAAGAGAAGGAAGTCAGCTAGAGCTAAAGTAAAGGCAACACAAAGTAGTATATCCTGACCTACCTACAACATATAAAAAGAAAACAGGCCCTCCAATTAACAGTTTGGAAATATTTCACTTATTCACAGAGATTTTATGAAGGAGGTAGTTTAGGGGCACCTGGGTGGCTCAGTCAGTTAAGCCTCGGACTCTTGATTTTGGCTCGGGTCATGATCTCAGGGTTGTGAGATCAAGCCCTGAGTCAGGCTCTGCACTGGTACGGATCCTATTTAAGATTCTCTCTCACCCTCTCCCCTATGTCTCTCCCCCACTCTCTCCCTCTCTACAAAAAACAAGACAAAAACAAAAACTGAGAGCCATTCTACACCACATCCATTAGCAATGAGGTAAACACATTCCCCATATTTAATAAAACAGAAAATATAAGCCTAAGTATCAGCAAACAAAAACTATTCAAAATTTTATTTCATCACTTAACATGATGTATTTACCCAACAGACAGACTAGTGTTATCTTGCATGGAATTTTACCCACAGATACTGCTATATTCAAATAGTGAAATACTATCCCAAACATCTGATTTTTTTAAATTATGTAACTCATTCTGTTTATTTCATATTAAATAAAGATAATTCTGAGCTTGTCACAACAGTTCATTTTTATATAGCCTGTCCCTAATACAGCCTTATCCTTAAAAATGAGAACCTGATTAAACCTGAACACTGACAGGAAGGCACTTTTGGTTTTGTTCATCTTTATACCCCATTTTAAGAAGAATCATTATTTTGTTTTACTCTGTTTTGAAATGGTGATTTGAAAATACAAATGAGGGGCGCCTGGGTGGCCGAGTCAGTTGGCGACTGCCTTCGGCTCACTGTCCTGGGAATCGACTGCCACGTTGGGCTCCCTGCTCAGCGGGGAATCTGCTTCTCCCTCTCCCTGTGCCCCTCCTCCTGCTTGTGCTCACTCTCTCAAATTAATTAATTAAAAAAGAAAATACAAATGAAATACTGTACATGGTGCCTGGGTGGCTCAGTTGGTTAAGCAGCTGCCTTCAGCTCAGGTCATGATCCCACAGACCTAGGATCAAGCCCCGAGTTGGGCTCCCTTCTCTGCTTCTCCCTCTCTCTCTAACCCTCCCCTCACTTCTGCTCTCTCTCACTCACACTCTCTCTCTCTCTCTCTCTCGAATAAAATCTTATAAAGAAAAAAAGAGAAGAGAAAAGAAAAAAAGAAAAGAAAAGAAAAACACTATGCAATCTCAATGCAGAGATCAAGAGATTAGTGAGAACTGCCTAGTGTGGCTTTAGTTGTATCCTTCCTAAAATAAAAAGGATAAGCTTTAGTGTGCCTGCATCCTCAAAGTTTACTACGCTTAAAAACAACACCACCTTTCTTTCTTATTTTATCTGTCAAATGGTCATGAAAATGTGTCTGTAGAATATTCACACATGAGCAAATAGATATACCAGCAAATTCTGGTTTACTGTTAGAGATATACGGAGTAGTAGAGATGACAATTGAGATGAAGAAACATGAGCAGAGAAGCCAAGAGAAGTTTTTCAGGTGGTGAAAATGTCCACAGGCCCAGAGAATTTGGGAACTGTGTAAGGCTGGAGCAGATGACCAAGTTCAATTTCGAGTCTTCAGATTCTACAACTTCATGAAGAAACCATATGTAACAGAAACAGTCATTTCAGGTTAGTGTTCTTTCTGGTCTTAAAACAAACATGGAATGGAACCCATAATGCCCTCCACCCCCACCCCCAAAAAAGGTGAAGTCCAAAATGCAATATGGAATTGGAGATAAATCTTAGCACTGCAAATCAATTAATACTTATTAATAATTCTTACCGTGTCTGAATTCCCTTCCAGCAATATATTGATAGCTTTGTTCACATCTCCATTACAGTCATGTAGGGCCACTATGCATTCATCCTGATTTTTCCCCGTCACTTCCATAAGCTGTTGAAATTATAAGAATATGGTTAAGGGGACCCCAAAGTGGCACAAGATAACAACTTTAAGATTTTTTTTTTTTCCCAGATTTTATTTATTTGAGAGAGAGGGAGAGAGAGCACAGCAGGGGGAGCAGCAGGCAGAGGGAGAGGAAGAAGCAGGTCCCCCACTGAGCAGGGAGCCAGAGGTGGGGCCCGATCCCAGGTCCCCAGGATCATGACCTGAGCCGAAGACAGACACCCAACTGAACCACCCAGGCGCCCCTAAAATTCTTCTATTTACAAATAGAAATCACACAATCCTTCCACATGAATATGGCCTCCTTCCAGACTCTGAGCTTATAATGCAAGAACAGGTTTCCCTGCTTTTTGTGACCATCACTTGTCTTTTCATCAATACAGAAGAGTCAGACGACAGATCAACTCTCCTCCAAGATGACAAAGTATCAGATTATTAATCAGCGGTATACACATACATATATACCAACATTCTCAGCATACTCAGGATCAGCTCTGACTACTCCAACTTAGTTCAGTGGCCTGGGATTCCCAAAATTTGCAACGACTCAAATAGTAAGTGTATGTGGCCACCATTAACTGAACATCCAGTCCAACTATTTTGTACAAAGAAAACAATCCATATGTGGTTTATCATTGCTTGGATTAGAACACTCCACATACATAGTAAGTGACAACACCCAAAGGTCTCACAAGTGCAATTCTACAGCTATCACAAACTCACTCCTAGACATAGTACTTGTGCAAGCAGCTTCAACAGCGTGCTATGTTTGAAGTAATCAAAGAAATCCCCTTGGTACATTCTCTTTAACAAAGGAGATTAAGCTACTTGACATTTTCAACACAAACACAATCACAAATTAGGTACAAGTTTCTAAATTTTTAGTGAACAAATGTATGATTTAAGTATCTCTTGTGTTTTTACACACATTTAACTGTTTTAGTATGTACCACCTGTTAAAAACATTTTGACGCCAACATGTGAAGTGATTTTTCTGTGGTCAAAAAGCTAATTAATAGGAAGGCCTATCCGGAATCCAAGTATCCTGATTTCATAAACAGAGTTCTCTGCACTATAGCACTCTCTCTCTGCTTTCTTCCCTGCATTGCACAGTGCAAGTTCTACACACACTACAGCTTTTCAGTCCTTTGGTCTTTGGGTATCGACTAGCGTCAGTTTTTATCAGTGTCTGTATTAACTCAATACCTGTAATATGCAAATGATAAGATGAACATTAAATAACAAAATTACCCCCCAGTGACTGGATTAGTAAGAGATCAAACTACAGTTTAGGTCCATTTCTGTATCAGTTAGGGAGGACGTTAGGTTTGAGGTTGGTGTTGAGAATAACTACCATGACTTCCAGTGCTTTGACGAAACCTCAGATGCGAGGCCTTCTGGCCAAGCGTCTGCGATTTCATATTGTTGGAGTGTTCGCTGTATCCCTGGGGGTTGCAGCTTTCTATAAGTTTGCTGTGGCCGAACCAAGAAAGAAGGCATATGCAGATTTCTACAGAAATTATGATTCCATGAAAGATTTTGAGGAGATGAAGAAGGCTGGTATCTTTCAGAGTGCAAAGTGATTTTGGAACGTAAAGAATTTCTTTGGGTTGAGTTCCACTGAAGTCTGTCACTGACCTGTGTTCCTGAACTATGAAACACGAATACTGGGTTATGGAATAGTTTGTCTTGATAAATAAACAACAAATTAAAAAAAAAAAACAAAAAACCCTAAAGTTTAACCATAAAACTCTGAACTCCTGGACCAGTTCTCTTTTTTGTGTATCTGCTATACTATTCAGACAAAAGACAATACAATATGCAGAAGTATGTCTCAAGCTATACATAAATCTCATTCCAGAGAATAAGTTCTATCATTTTTAATAAATGCTTTTTGAGGCCTTCTAAAATTATTACCATTAGTCTAATGACAGCAACTCTAAGTATAAACAAAGAGTTTACAGAATAAAGGGCTAAAAAAAGTTAGGCAGGAAGCTAGGCGTGAGCAATAGGAGGATGGACCTTAGATTTCATAATGGAGAGCCCCAAGTGAGGACAGCCTGGGGACCACCCCATTTGCCCCATCTAGCAATGGGTTTGTGGTTACAACATCCTGGGCAGGAGTTAAGAGCTAAATTTGCTTGTTGCACTTATGCAGAAAGCAGCAACTTGTCCTTATTTAACCTAATGTCTCTAAAATAGAAATAATGTTGCAGTTTCTTACCCCATGCAGGCATTTTGAATACAACTTCGGAAAGTTAGCTAATTATTATATAATCCAGGCCTGTCACTCAAATGTTGACCCTTCGGCCTGCCCAAAAGAAAAAAATGATAGAAGGCCACACCACCAAGCTTCCAGGGCCATTGTCTCTCTCGACTAGCCCGCTTCTCCCTTGGGGGTATACTTTAATGAAACTGCTTTGCTTTCATTCTGCTGTTCTGTAATTCTTTCTGGTGGGAGTGAAAAGAACCAAGGTTTCTTTCCTTTTCCAGCTAACTCTCAGTAACAAGTCCACTGTGGGACATTCACTCAAGGAACAATTACTTATAGACCTCTACCAAGGTCTGGACTGAGGTAAGAGTTATACAGCTTGATTTCTAGAATCTTGAAGGGAAAAGAAGCCTTATCAGGAGAGAAGATTTTGAAATTTATATTATAAAAAAGGCCTCTCATTAAAGTTCTAAATGAAGACATCACACTAAAATTTAATGTTGTATTTTATATGTTTGGAATCATCAACATGTTGGAAAAGGCAATTCAGTTCTTAACATTAAACAAAATTTTCTGAGAACTTGCCAAATACTAAATGTACTCTCTATACACAGGTACAGACAAGATCAGTGTGCTTCTTCACAAATGTCTAGCTCATTGTTGGTAACACTATAACTAGAAGATTCTACTGTCAAAATAATAGTATCTTTGCCACAAACATACCTGTTTAACTTTAGCTTCAAATTCTGAATCATTTTTATCGAAGATCACTTGAGCAAGACGCATCTGTTCGGCTGTTGCCTGAAAAGTACATACACAATTGTTAAAAAGTTCTGAGCACCTAAAATACAAGTTAGATGCCAAAATCTGCTGCAAATAGATAAAAAGCTCAAGCACTACAGTTCTATGGTAACAAAACTACTGATTAGAGTTCTCAAATGTTTACAACCTGCTTCCATAAGCCAAATAAACATCAAATTAAATGGCATAAGGGTCCCATTTCTTTGGCCAAATGACCTAAAGTTATTATTCATCTTAACTGGCCATGTGACTCATTTAAATATTCTTTCCCTTGGGGAAATGGAGTAAATAAGAACTATAGAAAATTACAACAGGAAGCAGTGGAGACTGCTAGGACACAGGCTTAGAACCAGCATGTCTGTCAAAAAACAGAAAACAAAAAAGCTCTGCTGTCAACTCTTTTAATATATCCTGATCAGCTCTTAAGAAAAATGGCTGTATTTAACGTAATAAAAATTATCTTGGGGGGGGCCTGGGTGGCTTAGTCAGTTAAGCATCTGCCTTCGACTCAGGTTATGATATCAAGGTCCTGGGATTGAGCCCTGCATCCGGCTCCCTGCTCAGCGGGGAGCCTGCTTCTCCTCCCTCTGCCTCTCCCTGCTGCTCGTGCTCTCTGTCTCTTTCTCAGTCTCCCTCTCTCACTCAGATGACTAAATGAAACCTAAAAAACATATGTATTTTTTTACTTTTTTTTTAAGCCACAATTTAAAATTTTTTAAGAAAAAGGAAACTTTAGGGACACCTGGGTGGCTCAGTCAGTTAAGCGGCTGCCTTGGGCTCAGGTCATTCATGATCCCAGGGTCACATGGGATCATGTCCCGCAGCAGGGAGCCTGCTTCTCCCTCTGCCTGCTCTGCCTGCCGCCCCCCCTTCTTGTGCGTTCTCTCTCTCCTTCTGACAAATAAATAAGACCTTAAAAAAAAAAAAAAAAAACTTTCAAATGCTACAATTAGTCACCCTAACAGAAAACTCTCTTCCAGTGGCTTCTCAGCCAAAACATTTGTTTTAAATATTTTTTAAGATTTTATCCATTTAGGGGCGCCGGGGTAGCTCAGTCGTTAAGCGTCTGCCTTCAGCTCAGGTCATGATCCCAGGGTCCTGGGATCCAGCCCCACATCGTGCTCCCTGCTCCGCGGGAAGCCTGCTTCTCCCTCTCCCTCTCCCACTCCCCCTGCTTGTGTTCCCTCTCTCATTGTTTCTCTCTGTCAAACAAATAAATAAAATCTTTAAAAAAAATAAAAGATTTTATCCATTTATTTGAGAGAGAGAGGCACAGCGAGAGAGAGAACACAAGCAGGGGGAGTGGGAGGTCATGATCCCCGGGTCCTGGGATCGAGCCCCGCATCGGGCTCCCAGCTCTGCGGGGAGCCTGCTTCTCCCTCTCCCACTCCCCCTGCTTGTGTTCCTTCTCTCACTGTGTCTCTCTCTGTCAAATAAATAAATAAAATCTTTAAAAAAATAAAATACACTTAGTAATGTTACACTGATAAAAACACTAAGAAGTAACCAAGCTAGAAAATCTTCATGTTGTAACATAGTAAGGATTAGTGAAGACAATAATCATTAATAAATGCTAATTCTAAGGGGTAAAATTGCATGAGGAATAGGCTATTTGCACATGGTCTCTAAGTGTCCCCACACGATTGTTTTTAAGCTGCTAGATGAAACATAGTTAAGAATAAATTAGAGGAAATGGGCAAAACCTGGACTGAATGAATCAATGTCAACTTCCTCAATGAGGGGCAGATAGCTATCACATAACTCCACCCATAATCTGAGAAATACTCAAAAGTCCTCTATGTAGTATTCCAATCAGAGATCTATAACCTGAATCTAATCATGAGGAAATTATCAAACTCCAATTGAAGAATGTTTCTTTTTAAAGATTTATCCGTTTATTTGAGAAAGAGAGCACGCAAGCATGCGAGCAGGGGGAGAGGCAGAGAGAGAGAAGCAGACTCCCTGCTGAGTGCTGGGCTTGATCCCACGAACCTGAGATCATGACCTGAGCTGAAAACAAAGAGTCGGACATTTAACCAACTGAGCCACCACCCAGAAGTCCCAAAGAATATTTTATAGAACTGGCTTATATTTTTTTCAAACTGCCAGTATTTTGGAAGACAAAGGCTAATAGCTGTTCCAGAAAAAAGAGACATGTCAAACAAAAGGTGTATGTGATTCTTTACTAGAATGGGGAAACATGCTACAAAGGACATTACCAAAATAACTGACAATGGAATAACTAAATACTGGAATAACTAAAAACAATGCATATATTAATACATGCATGCAATGTGCGTATGTATACAGATATAAAATACAGAAGAAAATAAAAGAACAAAAGTGGCACCATGCTAACAATATGGAGTGTATTAAGAGTTCTCTAAAACTACTCCTGCAACTTTGCAACAAAACCAAAATCCCATGGACAATATACCACAAAACTAGATGACAAAGTATCTCTCACAAACCTCAAAATACAAACAGATGAATAAAAACCACCCACAGATAAAGTATCTCAATCCCAGTACCCTGAGATCATGACCTAAGCCAAGATCAAGAATGGGATGCCTAACCAACTGAGACACCCAGGTGCCGCCCACCATTATCAACTCTTGAAACTAACCAGCTACGGGCTCCCATTAAGAGAAAATGACTAGTAGAATCAAAATTAAGCCACAAAGGGACGCCTGGGTGGCTCAGTTGGTTAAGCGTCTGCCTTTGGTTCGGGTCGTGATCCCAGAGTCCTGGGATCAAGCCCCGCATCAGGCTCCCTGCTCGGCGGGGAGCCTGCCTCCTCCTCTCCGTGCGGCTCCCCTTGCTTGTGCTCACTTGCTCTCTCTCTTTCTCTTTCTGACAAATGAATAAATAAAATCTTAAAAAAAAAATTAAGCCACATATACAGGAAAGAAAAGAAGGTCCACAATGGTGGAGAAGGGGCCAGGAAATCTCAGAAAGTAAGCCAATGTGATTACACAGAAAAGAAACTCTCTAGGATTTATTAAATTAATTTTATTCTAAATTACAAAAGCCACTCAGAACCATGTAGCCATCTGAAAGTCCAAGAAAACTCACAGCACATAAATATGAGCAAGAGAAAAATAAAGCTCAAATCCCATACAAACTTATTTTAAGAAAAACAGAGTAAGCAGCAAGATAATACCCCCATAACCAATGAAAACACAACAAAAAAAAAGTACCTAGAGAATAAAGCCCTGGGGAACCTGGGTGGCTCAGTTGTTAAGCGTCTGCCTTCGTCTCGGGTCATGATCCCATGATCCCCGAGTCCTGGAATCTAGCCTGGGGCTCCCTGCTCAGCGGGAAGCCTGCTTCTCTCTCTCCCTCTCCCACTCCCCCTGCTTATGTTCCCTCTCTTGCTGTGTCTGTCAAAAAAATAAATAAAATCTTTAAAAAAAAAAGAATAAAGCCCAACTGCTATCTTCTATCTCAAAACTAAAAGGCACTGAGCATGGGGTACCTGGGTGGCTCAGTCGGTTAAGTGTCTGACCGAAGGTCATGATCTCAGGGGAAAGGAGTCTGCTGCTTCTCTCTCTCTCTGTACACCCTCCCCCTGCTCATGCACTCTCTCTCTCAAATAAATATTTTAAAAAGGCACTGGGCATAAAGAAAATTATAAATACATAATATAAAAGACATAAATATGTCTTTTTCTAACTCAAATAAAATGAAGACTACACACAAAGAAGGAACACAAAAATAAACTTTTAACAGTTAATGCTTCAAGAGAAATAAAAGGTGAAAGGGTGAAATATTTTAAGTAAAAAATTTAAAAAGGAAAAATAAATAAAAACCTAAGAATTAATGACAGAAGGGGTGACCGTCTCGCTCAGCTGATAGAGCATATGACTCTTGATCTCAGGTTTGAGAGTTCAAGCCCCATGATGGGTGTAGAGATTATTTTTTTTTAAGATTTTATTTATTTATTTGACAGAGAGAGACACAGTGAGAGAGGGAACACAAGCAGGCGGGGCTGGGAGAGGGAGAAGCAGGCTTCCCACAGAGCAGGGAGCCTGATGCGGGGCTTGATCCCAGGACCCTGGGACCGTGACCTGAGCTGAAGGCAGACGCTTAACGACTGAGCCACCCAGCAGCCCATTCCAAAATAGTCTTTTTTTTTTTAAAGAAGGAAGTAACAGAGACAACAATAAAAATAAACGAAAAAGACAGTAGAAAAAAAAATCTGATTCTTTGGGGAGGGGGGAATCGACAAAACTGACAAACCTTTTAGCTAGATCAGCCAAGAAAGGAGAGAGAAGACTAAAGTCATTAAAATTAGGAATAAAATTGGGGACATCACTACCTATGTTAGAGGAATAAAAAGGATTATAAAATTCCATAAACAAATGTATGCCACAAACTGCATGACCTAGACAAAAAAAATTCCTAAAAAGATACCACTGAAACTACATCAAGAAAAATGAAAATTCTGTAACAAGTGACTGAATTAGCCATCAAAAAGTTCCCACAGGGGAGCCTGGTTGGCTCAGTCAGAAAAGCATGCGACTCTTGATCTCAGGGTCTTGAGTTCAAGTCCCATGTTGGTTGTGGAGCCAACTTAAAATAAATAAATAAAAAGTTCCCACAAAGAAAAGCCCAGGGCCAGATGGCTTCAATGGTTAAATTCTTCCCAATGATGAAGGAATTAACACGTGTACCAATTCTTTACAAATTCTTCCAAAAAATATAAAGAGAACACTTCCTAACTCATTCTACAAGGTCAGTATTATCCTGATAACCAAAATCAAAAACATCACAAGAAAAGACACCTACAGAAAAATACCACTATGGATGAAAAATCTTTCACAAAATCCTAGCAAACTGGGACACCTGGGTGGCTCAGTCATTAAGCGTCTGCCTTCAGCTCAGGTCACGATCCCAGGGTCCTGGGATCAAGCCCCGCATTGGGCTCTCTGCTCTGCGGGGAGCCTGCTTCTCCCTCTCCCACTCCCCCTGCTTGTGTTCCCTCTCTCGCTGTGTCT